TGGACGACGAAACCTACGTCAAAGCCGACTACAAGCAGCTTCCGGGACAGGAGTTTTATACGGCAAAAGGAAGGGGAAAGGTAGCAGATGTTTTCAAGCACATGAAACTGTCAAAGTTCGCAAAGAAATATCTGGTTTGGCAAGCCATCTGTACCTGTGGCTTGAAAAGCAGCATTTTCATAGCTTCCGGGACTATCAACCAAGAAATTTACGTGAAAGAGTGTTTGAATAAACGTATGCTGCCTTTCCTGAAGAAACACGGTTGTTCCGTACTGTTTTGGCCGGATTTGGTATCTTGCCATTACGGTAAAAAGGCCATGGAGTGGTACGCCGCCAACAACGTGCAGGTGGTTCCCAAGGACAAGAACCCTCCCAACACGCCAGAGCTCCGCCCAATTGAGAAATACTGGGCTATTGTCAAGCGGAACCTAAAGAAGACCAAAAAAACTGCTAAGGGCGAGCAGCAGTTCAAGGCAAACTGGCTTTATGCGGCGAAGAAGGTGGACAAGGTGGCTGTACAAAATCTGATGGCAGGGGTCAAGCGTAAGGCCCGGCAATTCGGATTTGGAAAAGCGGAAGCCTAACTGAATATTTTTCCTGAATTTTATACTAATTGAACTTGAAAAAGAAATTTAATTAGATTTTTTAAATAAACGATTTCACCGATTTACACGCGTTTTCCCTTGACCAAATTTTGACCGTATCACCCTTTAAAAGCGGTCACACATACGTTTTATGCATTCTTATAGGACTGATGTGGTATGTCTTATGGAATGTATAAGGCTGATGTTTTGGCAAATCTTGCAATCTTAAAATGCTTTTATTTTGCAAATGGAGCATTTTAGACCTAAAAATCTGAAAATAAATTATTTTTTCTATATTAAGTCCTTAAGTTTTCTACTAACGTAGCATTAACCAGATAGTTCTTCTATTCTCCACGAGTGCCAACTTTGATTTGCCAATTGGATGATCAAGCTCAGTGTGCAATTTGCTTAAAATGTTATGTTTTACCTTGTCAGCACCACCAGAAAGCAGGTTTCTGTATCCAGTGAAATTATTCAAATGGACAAGACCTATCACACGATTGGCCTCTTAGTTGAGAAATCACTCACCATGCAACGCTAGTGTTATTTGATTTAAAACGCTTGCTTAAAAGCAGTCCACATTCACTGAAATAGAATCACTTTTACGCATTCGTATGGATAAATTTCTAAAAGCGTACACTGTACCAAAACACCGTCCTCTGTTAGAATGAAACCTCAGACCATTCAAATCTAAATATCGAAATCACCTTTTCGAATGATGGTTTTTTTGAAATCAGATGATTTTCCACTAGAGTATAGGATTAGCATTGTTATGAAAAGGGATAGGGCCTTCAATAGGAATGCGTAATGCTCTCTGTTGAATGATAGCCATCTTAAATTGAAATACATTTCGTATTGGTTCTGCCTCATAACGCAAACAATTAAAAAAAAAAATTTGGTATCCATGACAGATACGTATTTCGACTACAATGTGCAGTCTTCATCAGTGTCTTTCCCACTAAAGAACTTATCAAAATCTAACCCCCTTAAGTAATCATCCCATAGGTAAAAAAAAGTCAAGATCATGGGTACAAAAATGAAACTACAATGTGTTGAATCGGAACCTACCTAACTAATAAAAACCAAAGATTTAAGTAAGCTAAAGGAGAAAAATCTATACAACTCTCTAATAAGGAAAATCCCCAAAGGCTTGGTAGCCATCATAATGAAGTAATGAAATTGGGTTGTTAGCGGAATGCTAAATAAAACAGCAAAAATTTAACATTTAATTCCACTTAATTTTGGTATCCATGACAGATACGTATTTTGACTACAATGTGCAGTCTTCATCAGTTTTTTTTAATCTTAAGCATTTGTAAGTAATTCTATCATAAAATTGTTGTCCTTTGAGCGCTGTGTGTTTTACAGCCAATTTTCAAATCAATATCATTCATTATTTGGATGACAGTCATATGGATGCTCATCAGCTGATCTAAAGCTCAATTCTAGATGCGCGAAAAATCTCACACTAGCGAATGAATCTTCCAAAATTCTTCTATCATTTTTAGCATCTACTTGCAGCGCGTATCATCTTTTTGCAGGAAATCTTCAGAATCATCATCAATCTTCTTTCTATCTACTCAGAGCGCGCAGTTAACCACAGTAAAACAAAATCATTCGTGCATCGCAGATAGAGTCGCCTTCTCAAGTTTGGCTCAATAGGGGTGGAGCAGAATTGCTTTTAATTTGCATTCAAAAATGAACGCATGAGCATTCATTTAAGACCAAGCTATTTGTACCTGATGGGTGCTTAAAATTTATCATAAAACATTTGAAAGCGATTTTTTTCAAACTTTTGATTTGAAGATGTTTTAGGAAATATTCTGCCACATTTACAGGCGCAGATTGATCTGGATGAAGGTAACACATTTGTTATGTTTTCAGCGCAATTTTGATCATATGAGTGGCTAGTACGGTAAAACAGGGGACAAATCGAGGGAGGCGACACATCTAAATCTCAATTCTAGATGCTCAAAAAATCTCACACTAGCGAATAAGGCTTGTACTCGAAAAAATGCACCATTTTTATCCGTGTGTAGTTTTTTTTTATACGGGGGTAAAAATTGATGAAAATCTGGGTATAACTAGTTTGAAGTGAATTGTTTACATGTACAAAATTTCACAACAATCGGTTCAGTGGTTATTTAGATGTCATCGAAACAAGAAGAAAATCGCTGGAGAATTTTGCGCGCCGTCATGGAAAATCCGACTGCGACCATGAGATAGATCGGAAGACAACTGGGAATCACCCATACAACTGTGTCTCGGGTGGTAAAATCGTTTAAGGAGTCCCAGACGACCGAGCGGCGAGCTGGAAGTGGAAGAAAATCGAAGACAGCTGACCCTGTGAAGGCCCGGAAGGTGTTGGATTATTTCAAGCGTAATTCGAACCTTTCGATTCGCGACGCGGCTCTGAAGGCAAAGTGTTCCGCCTGGTTCCTTCAGCAAACCATGAAACGAGCTGGGCTTCGTGTATTCAAGATCCGGAAGGCACCGAACCGGCGTGATCAACAAAACACGACGGCCAAATCCCGCGCAAGGAAGCTGTATCGAGAGTGGTTAACGAAACCGGCAGACGCAAAGCAGATACCGGAGCTGGAGTTCTACGTTACCAAATCACGGTTTGATGTTCTGGAAGACATAAAGAAGAAGAAAGTTGACAAATTCACCAAAAAAATACTTGCTCTGGCAGGCCATATACCAATGCGGTAAACTGAGTAAACCGTACATCACAATGGGTACCATAAACAGCGAAATTTACCGCACCGAGTGCCTCCAGAAGCATCTGTTGCCCTTCCTGCGGTCCCATCGGAGGCGAGACATTATTTTGGCCGGACCTGGCATCATGCCATTACGCGCGATCGACGTTGGATTGGTACAGAGACAATAACGTTGTTTTTGTACCAAAAACTGCCAACACCCCAAATTCACCAGAGATTCGTCCGGTGGAAAGATTTTGGGCCGTAATGAAGGCCAAAGTTCGAAAATCGTCCAAGGTGTTTAAGAACGAGCTGGAGTTGAAGAAAGAATGGATGAAAGTGACCAAAAAGGTCGGCTCAATCATTGCACAAAATGTAATGAGGGTTCTTAAGGGAAAGGATGGAAAGGAAATTGAATAAAATAGTTATGCCGAAACATAATCCATATGTATTAGTTCATTCCCTGAAAGTTTCAAGAAAATCCGACATAAAATAAAATTTTGGCGAACACTTTACAGGCCTTAAATCTTCTTTCATTTCTCGCATCTACTTGCATCGCACATCATCTTTTTGCAGGAAATCTTCAAAATCGTGATAAATCTTCTTTCTATCTACTCAGCGTACGCGCAGCCACAGTAAACACATTATTTCCTGCATCGTAGATAGAGTCGTCCCCCTCGGGACAAATGCACCCCGGGCAAAACGTTCGATTTGGTTTTCCATAGCTATTCCACTCTTAATTCTTGATTTTTTTGTCGCAATGCAAGTTTAAGAACTAAATTTGATCTTTTGGCAACATTTTTATGTTTAGATTGATTTGATCAAAACTGCTATCTACAATTTATGAAATTTCAATGCATGTAGTCCCACTGTACGACCCCACAATCCATAGACCATATCATCACCCGCTTCTAAAATCATCCACCCCTCCCCCATTGCAACCTATCAAGCTGAACAATGCATTAGGTCCTAAGTAATACTGATCGATTCTCTTCATCGATTTTCACTTTCGTTCATAAATTGGGTACAGAACCGTTTCTTGTCGTGTTTGTCGTATTCGAAGCTAGATAATAGCTTCTTTCATCGATCTGTGTGTTGAAAATAGCTGGAAATGTCTTATCATGGCCGTGAGTATGCGAAGATAAAGTTACTTAGGACCTAATGAATTGCTCAGCTTGCTATGACTACACAAAAAACCATACCACCCCAGCCCGAGCGAGACTGAAACGAGTGACGTTGTTCGTCTGAACGCCATTGCAATGCTGCCGTATGGTTTTTTGTATTGTTAACACTATTGCAGCACGACCACGACGCGGCTCAAGACTCGCGCATACATATCTTCGGCTCGAGCGGAGTTTCCCAAATCAACACTCCACTACCGTTGGTGTTGCTTTTACTGCTGCCGAAACCAGTCTCAAGTCGGAATCCATACGAGATACAACAGCTGCGACGACGACAACGTTGGCGGCGGTGGCAACGTGATTTTAAAAACTAGTACGCTATAAAATTTAGTTCTCGTAGTTTCTTAAAAGAGGTCCAAAGGTATTGAAATTTGAATCTTACACTTGCAGAGACATTTCTTTCGGCGGCGCTGTATGCGTGTGACACCTGTTTAACCCGAGCTACCATCGAGATATCAACTTCTGTGAAGGAAGGGGTACATCGTTACGCAAAAGATCAACTGACCTTTGGAGGATTAGCAATTATCGTAGACCATCGAACGCTGAGCGTCAAACCCCGGTGAATCATGAACCGACTCAGTGCAATTTTCCTAGCCGTAAGTAGACTTATTTTCGTTTTCGTTCAGAATCCCACCTCGCCAGTACAGCGAAAGTTATCCTGGATATTAAATGGAAGACAAATTCCACCACCAATCGAGTGAAGTCAGAATCGAAAGTCAAACGTGTAAAACAAAAAGTAAACCGATGAAAGTGTCCCGGAAACTTTCGCACCGCGATGATCGACTGTTGATGATTGTTACCGTTCGCAGTTATTTTCCCCATCGTTTTTTATTTTTTATTATTTGCGAATTTAACATACCTACCTACATCAGAAGGAAGGCAACGGGCTTACGATTTAACTCAACTTGTATAGTGTTGGCATGTTTGATCGTCGAACCATCGCGGCGCGCGTTGTGGAATATTTCTCCTTGAAGATATTTAGTTTTACGTAATCGGTGTAACACTTTTCGAGCACGTTGGAGCCGTTGGTTTTGCTTGCTATGTATTGGCGCGATCGCCGATACGAACGAAGATTGACGTAGAGGTGAGCTAGGAAAAATTATGCGGATCTACCGAAGATTAAGTTCCATCATTTGATAAAAAAAAAAACTGCTCTTAAGTGGGTCACGGCTGCAACGCTGTGGTGAAATAGTAAGCATTTGATTATTATTTGCAGTGGGATGATCGATGCTCGAATTGAAATTTTGTTCCTTTCATCGATGTTTAAAATGGAAAACATTAATAACTATCAAAATATATTAGACTACATGCTCACGATTGAACGACATTTTGCGAAAAACAGTTTCGCGGAATTCCGTTTCGTGGAATCCGATTTCGCGGAAAGCCATTCTCCGGAATAATTTATTTTGCTGATAATTTTAAAAATATTGTTACCGTGGAGTTACAATCAACTTTCGCTCGTTGAGCTAAACCTGTAGCCTACTTAAAGACCAGAAGGTCCGCAGAACCATGCTCAACTTGTTGGTTCAGCTCTGGTATTCTTTTCGGCCCAAGCTAATCGATGCACCCCTCGAAACATAGGGAAATACACGAACCCCTCATTTTATCTGACAAACTTTCATGGCGAATCAAAACAAACATAGTATAGTATTAGAATTTCGACTGGAATGGGGTACGTTAATCGATTTGCTTGGTACCAATAGGCTAAGCAAGTAGTGAGCCAATTCAAAATCGTTAGTTTCCACCGGTTGGTACAAGGCAATCCTGGATGATACACACTTAATCACGGTTTCCCTGTTCGGTATTTTTTTGCAGTTTTCGAACTGTAAATCACACACATTGCCGCACATTCAGCTACTATACTACTGATGATCAGTAGCTTTTGCGACAATCTACTGAATACGGTAATAGCAACCAGTGGAAACTAACGTTTTTAAATTGGTTCACTACTTGACTATTGGTCCCAACCAAATCGATTAACGTACCCCATTCTAGTATAAACTCTAGTAATACACTATGTTTGTTTTGATTCGCTATGAAAGATTGACAGATACAATGAGGGGTTCGTGGTTTTTCCTATGTTTCGAGGGGTGCATCAATTAGCTTGGGACCGAAGAGAGTACCAGAGCTGAGCCAAAAAAGTTGAGCACGTTTCTTCTGGACCTTCTGGTCTTAGAAATACCTCTATGGTAATAGCATGTTCTTGGAGCCGATAGCGGTGCTCATGCGTTGCACCTGGATCAATTGGTGAAAATTTTGGTGAAGGGCGATGGCATAGTAGTCCTCAATTGATGTTCTTGGCTAATGAATACGTTACAAACAATGTACATCTTTGTTTCAAAGGGATATAGTCAAATGTCTTGAAGACCCTTCTCCAGCATCTCAACCAGTAAATAAAGCAATATTGTCTCTAGCCGTTCTGCCGAAAGAGAGAGTCGATGATGAGAATCGATCAACGTAGATTGGTCTATTTGAAAGGTAATGCAAGAAGTTTCCAGAAAATACTCTTTAACAAATTTATGGTGGTCCTGAAAAGTACCGTTTTTTCGTGCTTGAATAATTCTGACCTACTAAGGTGTTTTACACAGATAAGGCTGGCGAGCTGTTTGTTGTTTGGAACGGTGGCGCGCTTGGCTTACCTGGTCCACAGCTGCTAACGACGAGCAACTGAAATCCGATCAGTAGCGGTGCAACTTCTTCCTCCTTCTTCGGCGAATGGACCGCTCAATGGGCTGCAGCTCGCGCTTGTGGGCAGCCTTTCGTCGTGTACTGAAGAACAATCTACAACGCCACGAGCCGAAAGCACTACTGCTGGTGCTGATGATCACCACTGGACACCATCAACATCACCATCCCCACACGCGGTGATTGAATAAGCACCGTTCGGCGAGACCGAAGTGAATTCGATTTTTAAATCTGTGTTAGGGAAAGCGCTTTTCGCAGTCAATCGGTGATAATTTTCATTATTATAGCAACAGTTGCACATTCGTGCAATTTTCGACAGTACCCTTTTGAAAATTGATAAAGTGTTCATTTTTGCAGATTCGCAGATAACATTCCATACGATTGGCTTGTTTAGAATTAATATCCATCTGCTATTGAGTGAGTTATAAGTGGTGAAAACCTGACCACTTTTCGTAACGCGATCGATTTTGGCCTGGAGAAAAAGTTAGCGGCTGTTTCATTGTCCGATAGCACTGTCCAGTGACGAATAAGTTATATGTCCGTGGATATCAAAAACCAAGTGGTATCTGAGATCAAGGCGGCAAAATTTGGACTTTTCAGTATTCAGCTTGATGAGTCCACAGATGTTTCATCTTGTGCCTAATTAATTGCCTTTGTGAGATACGTTCATGCTAAAAGTATCAAGGAGGAATTCCTGTATTGTTCGGCTCTCGAAACAACAACGAAAGGACACTGTTTGTGGTTCCTGCACCAGCAATGTTGGGAAGCAAATCAGGATTCCAAACAATGGTGAAAAAACTGAATCCGAAAGTAACAGGGACTCATTGCATGATTCACTGACAAGCACTTGCTTCTAAAATGCTACCAAAATCTTTGGGTGACGTTTTGGATCAAGTGGTGAAAATCGTTAATTCAGTCAAATCAAGTGCATTGAATTAGAGACTTTTCAAGCAACTTTGTACCAACATGGATTCTAAGCATCAAACGCTTCTGTATATTTATCATACCAACGTTCGTTGGTTATCGAAAAGAAAAGTAACGGATAGATTTTTCGAAATAAAAGCGAAAGTGAAATCTTTTCTTGAACTCCAAGGAAAAACGGAACTTTTGGATGTAGTAAGTGACCCTCATTGGATCTTACAGTTAGCTTATTTGGCTGATATTTTTGAACAGCTAAACAAACTTAAGCTTAAACTACAAGGCAGACATACCACCAACCGGTGGAAACTAACGATCTTAAATTGGCTCACTACTTGACTAGCCTATTGGTCCCAAGCAAATCGATTAACGTATCCCAGTCTAGTCAAAATTCTTCTACTACACTATGTTTGCTTTGATTCACTATGAAAGTTTGACAGATAAAATGAGGGGGTCGTGGATTTTCCTATGTTTCGAGGGGTGTATCGATTAGCTTGGGACCGAAGATAGTACCAGAGCTTAGCCAAAAAGTTGAGCTCGTTTCTTCGGGACCTTCTGGTCTTAAAGTTACCTCTATGCTGATACTCTCTTCGGTCCCAAGCTAATTGATACACACCTCGAAACATAGGAAAATCCACGAACCCCTAATTTTATCTGTCAAACTTTCATAGCGAATCATAACAAATATAGTGTGGTACTAGAATGTCGACTAGACTGGAGAACGTTAATCGATTTGCTTGGGACCAATAGGCTAGTCAAGTAGTGAGCCAATTTAAAATCGTTAGTTTCCACCGGTTAACAAGGGCAGCAAAACCACAAAATTACCTTGCATAGGGGGGGGGGGGGGGGGTATTCGTTGGATGAAAGGGACCGTGAAAGAGGACATTAAAATAGAAAGATTTTCTTCATTCAACATCGCCGGATAGGGGATGTGAATGTGAAACGTCATTTCAAATTTAAGGCCGTACATAAATAATGATACAATTTGAAAGGGACCGGGGCTAATCACAAATTACGTCCAGATGGTAACTGAATTAAACACGAGTGCCAACCGGTTGCTAAAACATTCAAGCTGTCAGAAATACCGGTTTGTCAAATATACCATAATATACATATTTTACAAAAAATCGCAGCTGCTCTATAGACCTTTTTGACGTTTAATCGTCTTTCTCTATCTAGCACACATGGATGAATGAACGGTTTGTTTTCCCACTAATCTGTTTCCCTCTTGCTCGCACTCGTTCGATTTAAATGGTGCAGTAGTGTGCGCTGATTAAACGTCAAAAAGCTCTATGACCGGCACAACCGGCACCCTGAGAAAAATGATGACTCAAGATTGGTATGCGGAGTGACACCAACAATCAATACGAAACTAACGATTTTAAATTGGCTCATTACTTGACTAGCCTATTGGTCCCAAGCAAACGATTAACGTACCCCATTCTAGTCGAAATTCTAGTACTACGCAATGTTTGTTTTGATTCGCTATGAAAGTTTGACAGATAAAATGAGGGGTTATTGGTTTTTCCTATGTTTCGAGGAGTGAATCGATTAGCTTGGGACCAAAGAGAGTACCAGAGCTGAGCCAAAAGGTTGAGCACGTTATTTCGGGACCTTCTAGTCTTAGAGTTACCTCTATGGTGACACCAACAATCAATTCGAAACTAACAATTTTAAACTGGCTCACTACTTGACTAGCCTATTGGTCCCAAGCAAATGATTAACTTACCCCATTCTAGTCAAAATTCCAGTACTACACAATGTTTGTTTTGATTCGCTATGAAAGTTTGACAGATAAAATGAGAGGTTAGTGGATTTTCCTATGCTGCGAGGGGTGAATCGATTAGCTTGGGACTGAAGATAGTACCAGAGCTGTGCCAAAAAGTTGAGCACGTTTCTTCGGAACCTACTAGTCTTAGAGTTACCTCTATGGTTGAAACCCAAGGGGTAAGTCACTCAGTACAGTGTGCCCAAAGTTGATTCGGCACAGCTTGGGAACATCCATCGGCACAATCTCGTAGGCATTGGATTGTTTATTAAATAAAATGGGAGCACTGCAGGACAGCTGTCATTGAGATGTTCACAACATTTCGTGCTGTTTGACTGCGTATTTCAGAAAAATACTCTAACTGCATATATAGAGGAATTCCGACCAGCAATTCACTTCTCTGTTCACATTTAAATTTTGAAGCTTCCAAGGGCTGTCGATTGCTATCGATGCCGGTCACAAGTCTTTCAGCTACTGCGCACATGGAGTGATATGGTTGATATAAAATAAAAATTAATTTACTTTCATTTCATGTGAAGTCGACAAAGTGCATTTGGCAAAACTGGGAGTCGACACACATAACATAGCTAGACGATTCATACGCGCTGAGAGCAGTTGAGCATGAGCTTCGGAAAGCTAGGGGCACGCAATTACCTTTAACTCCGACGCAAGCAACGGCTGTAATTAAATGAATTCCATTAATTACTGCTTTAATTACATTAATTATACAGCGTAGAACATTAACTACTTTTTAAGTCCATTAGTTAAGTCGACTTTTCGTAATTTAAGTACATTAATTACATTTTCAATACTTTTAATTACATTAAGTACGGATAGTTAATTTTAATTACAGTCAGTACTACTTCAAAACGTATTAATTACTTTAAGTACTTTTGAATGTATTTTACCTTCAACGCACCGGTTCTTTGTATTGCGTGCCCCTCGTCGGAAAGCTCCGAATACACGAATGTGATTCGTGTCATGAAAAACGAAGATCGGCTGACATGTTTTACTTTCTTATCAGCATCGATAATCTCCATGATGTGATCCTTGAGGTACTTGTTGAATACGTCTACCGTCACCAGGCAGACCTGCTTGATGATGATAACCTCGGAGTCCTCCTTAGAGCGCATGATGTACCCGATTGGGACGCTGATTTTTTTTTTTTATTCGTTGTTTTAGAGATTTTTAGCCGAAGGCTAGTTCATCTCTTAGGGACGCTGATGTCCACCGTGTCGAAGCTCTTGTCCTTGACAAAAGCTCGCCACGATTCACATAATTCACCAGGGAAGTTGTCCTTGGAGAAGACGCCCGACGTTTTGCCATCCTTGGATCTCTTGATCGCCTCCAACAGATTTTAAAAATTGGCCTTGTCTTTGTCGTTCTTATCCCGAACCAGCAGCTCCACCGATGGAATGCCCTCCTCACCGTCCTTCTCGATCTGCTTCAAGAAGTAGATCTTCTTGCTGGCCAGGAAAAAGATTGACTTTTCGCACAGCACCTTAATCGTATCGGTCAGCTCGCATCCCAGCAGCCAGGTCTGCAGCGAGGTGGATTTACTGTAATGGTTTCCTCGTCTACACCGACCACCGTCAGAATGCAATCCGCCTTCTGCAGCGAATAATCATGGGAAAACTCTGGTTCCTTCCTATTGGCATTGGCGTAGAGGCGTTTTCATCGTCGGTAGAAAGAATCCTTCTTCTTCTTCTTTATTCCTTTATTTAACGTCGGTCTCTAGTGGACCCTACACGACAGTTTGTATTGACTATAATCGTATTGTCAATACATTTTATATTGACGTCAATACATCGGTATTGACAATATTTCTGTATTCACATTATCAATATTATTGTCAATACTTGTAAGTATTGACAATATTTCTTACCGTGTGGGGTTCGCTTCTGTTCCGCAATCTAGTGCCAATCACCGACGGACATCGATTACCATCCATTGACGGCAATCGAATGTGCAGGAAGGCAGCTTCCACACCTGTGTAGGATATCGCACCCATTCAAACACACATGGGCCGGGACCAACGGCTTTACCAACCGATGAACACTCGTGTTTATTTCAGTTACCGTGGGGACGTAATTTGTGATTAGCCCCGGTCCCTTTCAAATTGTATCATTATTCATGTACGGTCCTTATATTTGAAATGACGTTTCACATTCATCTAGTGATGTCCGATTTTCATTCGAATAATCGATTGATCGATTAACGAACCGAAAAGTAAAATATTTGTAATCGGTTATATCATGCCGATATATAAGCATTAACATCTCCAGAGGATCATCACCGATCGTTTCAAACATGTGCTGCACTCTCATTGGTGGAAAAATGGCAGCACAGCGAACAAAAAATAATCGATTAGTTGTTAATCGAGTAATTAAAAAATGGGACATCTCTAATTTTGGTGTGATTGTTTTGATAAAAAAGTGCGCGAAATTTCATCTCTACCGAGGGGGCAGCTAAACCACAAAATTACCTTGCATACGGGAGCTATTCATTGGATGAAAGGGACCGTGAAAAAGGACACTAAAATAGAAAGTTTTTCTTCCGACAGTTTCATCTTAGTATTCATCTTTGGCTTTACTTCCCTTCCGAAGGAAGACGTGACCAGAGATTGTTATACCTCCGAAAAATCCCACCGAACTCGGCTGGGATTGAATCCAGACCCATTGGGGTGAGAAAGCAGTCACGCTTACCACTACACCACGGGCGCCGACACCGGTTTGTCAAATATACCAAAATATTCGTATTTTACAAAAAAAACGCAGCTTGCTTATGACCGGCACACTGATAAAAATGTTGACTCAAGATTGGTGTGCGGAGTGATCTTCACCTTGTTGAAACCACTGATCTAGTCCATTTGTTAAGTTAAGGGAAACAATTAAAAATGAATGTCACCGCTGTTCAACTTGCATATTAGAATGGTCTCATTAAATACTTGGATTGCCCATCAGTTTTGCATTTACCGTGTGGTGTACATTCACCACTCGGCCTCCATTCAAAGCTCATTTTGTCAAAATGTGTGGAAAATGTTATTAAAACTATTTCTAAAATACGTTTAACCGACTAATTCACTCATTTAAGATGCCTGTTGATCGAATTTAACCATCGGCACTTCTATTTCACTGTTTATTGTCGAAAAAATTACTTTTGTTTACACCCATATCAGTGGTGAATGGAGAATCAACAACGATCAAGGGTTCCCTTCATCGCTCACTACAAAACTAAACTTAAAATATACATTACTACCAATATTTCATAACAAAGACGAGTGTTTATTCAATATCTAATACCTCAATAATTTACAAACCATATAATTCGATGAAAATAGCCACAAAAGATAGACAGTTCAAAAAGTAAATATTTCCACTACGACATGAGCGGTGAACGTGACCCCTGGTTACATGCACTAATATGTCTCGAGACCAATTTTAAGAGCATTGTTTTGGATGTTTTATATTTTATCCTTAATGTTATGATAATACACTTCAAACTAGTGCAAACATACCCTAATAAAAAAACTATACTCGAGCGATAACCTAAATGGTCGAACTATTTCACAAATGGTTTGGATGATACCCTAAACACGTCGTTAAGCAAAATAACCATACCAATTTCATTAGGGTATATTCAATATATTTATGAAAAGTAATTTAACTAACGACGTTAATATGATTTTGCTCTAAAGTGAGAGGTGAACGGGCACCACACGGTATATTAATCTTAGATTCGCAGAAATGGAAACGGGACGTTTTATACACTCCTACCCTACCTCTATTTCACGTTATCAACCTACTACTTCGTCAGCGAATAACGTTTTGATTTGTATCTGGCTGTTGGATTTCATTCGTATAGGTATCAAAACTGCATAATTTACAACAGGTTCCAGTGGTTGGCCTTCAGTAATTGGACTCCTTTTCTATCATAAATAAGTATGTGCACAGCTAACAACTCTTCATCAACCGATTTCTTCAATTTCAGATCTTTGCAGTTTTGGTTTCGCTGATAACGCAGACAGTTGAATCAACTATTCAACCCAAGGCACCTAATTTCCAGTACTTTGAAAGGTAACCACCTAATTAATATTCGCGATGTTTGCATAATGCTTCATACCTCCATACATTGCAGACCTAAATACCGATACCCATACTATGACGAGCATGGCCGTGGCAAGCTCCTGTACGGATATGGAGGCCCGGAACTGTTCCAGTACAAGAGCTACTCGCCATTGGATGGAATCCACTGAGGTGGTGCATCAATGTAAAAAATAATCCCAGTTTTAAGAGCATTTTAGCTTTACCTCAAAAACGCATTGTACATAATAAAGTGGCAGCGTTTGAATTTCTATACAGTTACATTAATTACCTTAAGAAAACGATAATCCCCAATCGGTTATCACTGGCCGGAGCGCAGCAATTTCGAGACTTTCTTTAAAGCTTACATTTTACCTGTAATGAACTAACCTAGTGAGAAAGGCAATAAATCGCTGTTGATTTTTTTTACTGTATCAAACTTTTATTCAAATTAATTGGAAAATCCGATCTATTCTACTAAACCCGCCGTTTTTGCGTGGAAATGTACAGAACGTTGTTACCACGGATGAACGCATCGCCGTACTTGTTCTTCAGCTGACCGTTGACGTACTCTTCCGTTTGGTCCAGGGCAATGTTCATGTAACCGTCCAGGCAGGCTAGGACACCACGGTAATCGACACCACTGTTCAGCTTGACCACCACCGGCCGGCCGTGGATCTGGTTGATGAACTGCGAGAGGGCTTCCTTGCGAGACATGCTGGAATTAAAAGCCATAACTTTAATAGTAAAAGGTAAAAGTATTTAATATGAAGAAAAAGCAATGCTAGTTTTAAAAATGAGAGAAATGGGGTCCCCGATTATAAAGCTAGATGAGGCACGTGAGTTGAATTCGACCAAATTTCTGGACGTTCATTTAGCAGTTCAAGTGAGTTGAATGCTGAATTGAATCATCTAAACAGCAGCTGCAGCAAGTACGGGAATATGCTTTTCCTTTTTACTGTACAGAATCTTACAGAAAAGCAAGTACGGGAACAGACCTCATGAGATACATATAGGTAACTGAACATCCATAAATTACGTAGCTTATTCTGGTAGACCTAATACATGGCCGGTCACTACTTTAAAAAAAAACAAACGTCCAGAAAGCTGGTTTTCGGATTTGTTCTTTTCGAATTGCAAGTTAATTGAACGCCGATTACTTTATCAAGGGTGAATTGAATCAACTCACTTGAAGCGTGTAAACCCGGGTTAAAGTAAGTTGTATGATAAAAGCATAAAAGCATTCCTTCTATTTTTCCTCAAGCCGGGTTTAGACGAGGCAAGTGAGTTGAATTCAACTCATCCCGATCTGGTGGTTAACATTCAAGTGACTTGAAAGCAAATAATGCAAGAAGTTACTTTCCGGTCGTTTATTTTGCAGTCCAATTATTGAGCTGAACGCCGACTTGAATCGTCTTAACCGGGCTAAATAATTATATGGGTAGACCTGGAGCCTCATTGCGCAAGTCGAAACGATGCATTTTTTGTATGAACGCTTGTATGAAAAAGTTTGTTGTTTCGACTTGAGGGACCTGGTTAAGAGCGAATTCGTTTATTATTCAAAGTTTCAACCTGGAGTGGGTATCAAGATTGTTTGTTTTTAAAAAACTACATCAGGTTGAGGTTCAATGCGTGGCAATCGATGCCCGTCGGTGATTTACACTAGATTACAGGAACAGAGGCCTACGTTGAATAAAAGAATCAAGTGGTTCGCACTGGTTCTAACCACGATAAAAAAAAAAGAATTCGCTGAAATTTGAAACTGTTTGTAGTAAATGAAATACTGGTTCTACTTTACAGTATGTAACTAATTCTAAATAACTGATAAGTACTTACGTTGGTTTATGGAAATATAAAAGTAATTTAGTGAATTTATCCAAATTAATCCGCAAGCAAGGCAGGAACGCTTTACAAACGAATAAAGAGCAACGACTAACAGCAAACAAACGAAACAACAACAATCAAATTCAATGACGTTTAGTTTAAGAGCCGCCGGTGGCTGAGGATTAAAACCCACGTGGCACATAACTGTACACGACTAATTAAAACAAGCTACACGCTATTTTGAGCTACTCGGTGACTGGGTGATATTTTTGCATGCTGTACACTGATAAATTGAACTATTCCCATTTTGCTTGAAATTTAATCAATTTGACATTAAACTTAGTTTAATCATATCGAATGATTAAAAATTAATCTTCTCTTTCTAAAAAATAAGCATCTGATATTAATCCCAGTTTAATCATAGTTGATTAGATTCTAGATTATCTTTTTTTGAATATTTTTGATTTTATTTTTAAAATGTTTGATTGATCTTTAATCTTTTTGTATTCTATATCAGTATTGAAAAAGAATAAAATTTAATACTGGAAAGATTATTTCGATTTTAATCATGCATGACTACTGCCGAAGTAATCATGGCTCGGACTCAATAAGGTGAAGCGGGAAACTGCATACTTTTTAAGCTTTTTTTATTTAATTTATCTTTGAGTGTATGGAGTTGTCAGAAAAAGAGTAAACTGGTTTTGCTTCGATGAGTGCGATCTACTCAGATTCTGGGTAAATCATTCTGATATCAATTTTTACTACGTTCAAAATGTCGCACTATGAAGTTGTAAACAGACGATTTTTGCACAATGCGTTTAAATTAGTTTTTAGAAGTGAAGCAGTTACGTAATGACCTTGATGGCGAAAGCTATCAGCAGCTAGTTTGTAAGGTATACAACTCTAATAAATAGTTCGTTGCTATCAATAAATAAAGAATTATCATTTTTATAATGCAAGGGGTTGGTCACTCTACACAGTGTGCCAAAATCAAACTGGGGCACATCGGGGTGCAGTCCTTGACGTTGTTTGGCACCCATGGTTACAATTTTTATGATCTTCAAAGTTACTGGCAACACTGAACTTTTTCTGCACCTGCGCAGTGTGCATGTGTCAAAATTTGTTATTGACGTTGCCACTCCTAGTCAAATTATTTTCAAAACAACCGTGAATCTCCACCAAGTCTCGCCATGGATTCTCAGATTCGTTACACCCGTGACGGCAGTCGCATCCAGATTTCCTCTCATACGAAGAACAGCTGACAGCGGTATCTTGACCTAACCGAGGTTTCCGGCCATGGCTACACGAACTAGCGATGCAGCTCCCACGGCTGCGGCTGCTTCCAATGCTGCTGCTGGTCCGTCTTTTTTGACGAATTTTAGAGGAGACGGACCAGCAGAAGGAACAGCAGCAGCAGCAACTAAAGCAGCAGCAGCAGCATTGGAATCAGCCGCAGCCGTGGGAGCTGCATCGCTAATTTGTGTAGCCGTGGTCGACGCTGGAAATCTTGGGCCGGTCGGTTTAATCGGAAAGTCAACAACCAAACAAAATCTATACCATCCGACCATTCGAACTGCTCGAAAAATCCATGGCGGTGGCTGCTACATCAAACATTCCATCGTCCAACATATAATGTTGGAGGACCGTCTTGGCAAAATCTCAAATAGTTCAACAAATTTTAACTCTCGTTCCTTTTTGCACTTCCAACTAACACAATAAGAAATTATAATTACGAATCATAATATTAACTACCCAGAAAAAGGAAAATCCTTTCTTTTCTCAGAAAATAAGCTTCCGCTCTTTCAAAGCTAACGTGTTTTCGGTGTTCTCGTTCCTCCACGCACCGTTCATCTTCTTGGAGGAGGAGAAGCACAGCTTCATAATGAACGGGAGTTTTGTGCATTTGTGATCATCGCGCTGTGGTTGCACTTCATGATGACGTTCACCGCCAGGGCTACGCTCAGGAACTCGACCAATCCGAAGGAGGAACTTCCCGATTTCAGCGGGAACATTCGCACTTGCGACGGGTGGCAGCCCTTGGTGGTGAATGCAGTCAGAAGCAGATCCTCGGACGGCATACGGGTGGGTTATTGAAGAAGTGGAGAATGCGATTTTTGCTGGCCTGGGAAGTGATTGTTCTTGGAGGCGCTGTAGACCTTGAAGCTGATCGAATTGTCCTGCAGGGTGTACGGGTTGGTGGACTCTGACAAGTAGTTCAGCTTGGAAAATTGGCTGGTCCGTTTCGGGTCAGCGGTGCGTCCTTCATCAGTCTGACGTGTGTTCTGGCCGGTGTTGGTTTCCAGTTTTCCGACGGATCATACTCGGGTGGTGAAAAATTCGGTGCAAATCCATTTCCTCCGCCGGCTCCCAGAAGGGTTGGTTGACTAATGATTGACGTTCGTTGTGCGGAGTCGGCCTTCCGCCAAAGATGGAAGGATCGTGTAGCAACGGAGCTCGTCCGTTGCAGGCATCCTTGGAGACGGATGCATCCAGTGTGTAGTCCCAACTGGAGTCCGTGTCGTTTTTGAAAACATTGAAAAACAAAACAAAAATAAAAGCTTTTAAAATACCGGGTTGCCAAACAAGGCATTATTCACAAGCAATCAAAAGTCAGTTCAATGACTTCTTGACACTACCGGTACAACTGCGGCACACTGAGGTACACTGAGAAAAAAGTTGGCGCAAAACAAGTGTGTAGAGTGAACACCCCTTGTTATAATGTTTTTTTTTTATTAATAATCTTCCTGGACGAAAATATTTATACAATGCATTCATGGGGAATTCATTCGTTTCTACCGAAATGGGTAGGGTTTACTCAGTTGACAAATGTCATAATCTGAGTAACCGTTACTCAGTTTCCTCCATAGGCACGTTTACTCAAATTTGAGTAATAGCATGTTTACCCATTTTTGGGTAACTTCCCTTTTGACCGAACTGAGTGATTTTCAACTCAAAAATGAGTCGCTCCAGAATAGACCTGTGCACGGGTGAACTTTAGTTCATCTACACTCAAAAATATTACTAATCTAAGAATGATTAAAATTTATACATTTTATGATTAATCAATATATACACTCAAATAACAAAAATTGTTGCTATAAAAATAATGCAATTTAACAATAAAAGTTTTCTTAATTTCGTAGTTTTAACTGTGAAAATGTTCAAAATGAAAGTTATATCTTTGGTTTGAAAGTGTTTCTTTCATTTCTGACTTGTTATTTTAAAAGTACATTTTTTTAAATAAAAGTTGTTCAGCTATCAAAAATACCTCTTCATAGTAAAGTTTTTTGCAGCACTTAATTTACCGCCAAATTTGAGTTGGCGAGACGAGGAAAACAAATCGTTCTACGGAAATCAAATACGTGGAATCAGTATTTGATAGACACCTCCGGTGAAGGTATAGTACAGTGGTACTTGATTGTGATTCCACCGCTACAACAGCGAATGATAGGTGAGTTGGATTTTTGTTTTTCTTAGGATCGATTAAATTTATTTTTACATTGTAGCTACATTGATCAGCCCGCTAACTCTTGGCAAACAAGCGTTTTCGTCGGGTGGTTCCTGCTTCTCACCGTAAACATCACTGTCATCATCGGCCAACAAATCCCGTAACAGTGTAAAGCGTCTCTCGTGAGAGAAAATACAATCTGCGCAAAAAACCCCGTAACATTGCACCAAACCCATCATTCCGGAATCTGACAGCCGATGGTATGTGGATGTAGAGCGGCTGAACAACAACACAATGATGTATGAATTATCCTGGACCGTTAGTGATCTAGTTCGGGTGGTGGTCGTTTCCAGTGGCAGGTGGTGTTTTTTCATCGGTGTTGATGGCATTTGAATCCTAGGACTCGGACGAAATCTGCACTGGTCTCAAAAACAATGATGTATTTTCATTTTCTATACAAAGTATATGAATAAAGACAATTTTTATAAATGGTACAAATATGAGTAAGGGTATTTGTCTTTAATCTTGAAAACTATTAGCCTGATAATATTTCAAATTTGAGATAAAATGTCATGATATATATTGTCATGATAAAAAAAAAACCTTTTTTATTTGAAACATTTTGTACTTTATTTTAAAAGCATTGGTTTTTCATTTGACAGTTCTACAATTTGATTCGAAAGCTTCAACTTTTAAAATTAACGAGGGGCGTAACTTTTGATTTGACAGGCTACACATTTTTATTCTGAATGCTTCGGACTTTCTACCAAAAAGAACCAACGAAAACTTTTAATTTGACCAATGGTTTTTTTAATTTTAGAAATGATTATTTTTTGTGTGTATACATTGATTCAAGTATTATTTTTTTCAAAATTATACTAAGTCTGAATACCGGCGAAAAATTCATTCAGTATATATCGCTGACAGCAAAGCAGTGGAAGATAATTCGAAGTGATGTAGGAGATTTCATCGGTTTCATCGGACGGATGAGTCCATCAATCCCCTCCCGTGCGGAAAGTGCTGAGTGATTGGGATTGGATCATCAGTCATAATTGATACTGGGGAACACCGGTTCCACTGTGGATTTCTTCCGATGGCTAGAATGTTGTGTGCTTCAGGATCATCGAAGAGGTTCTCAACAGGTTGTTCGCGGAGACTTGATGAGAGGTGGTTTACTGATCTCGACGACTATCACCATTATCAATCACCGGATACTCGATAACGGCATCATCAATCGACAGATACCGGATTGCGTGCAGAAGTTACTAGGTATACTCTGATGACAAAACTCCAGAGGTAATATAGTATTCCCTAGAGTATTCCGGAGCTTAAAAATTAAAGGAAAGAGATTTATCCCAGCGAACTAAAATCAGTGAAAATTAAAGTAGCACCAGCAAGTAACCTAAACAAATAAAACCATTCGCCTATTCATTCCACTTCTAAATCCAGGGCAGGCCAATTTGAATGTCGAGTTGAAAGTACTCATCAATTGTTCCCTCAACCATAGAAGACGAAATTGCGAACCTGTTCTGTTGGAACCACTGAAAGGAAATCATATACTCTTGATGGCCGGTGCGGAAATCATTTACCCCTGAGGCCTATGCACGACTATGATGCAATCGGTTCAAAAATATGCTGCTTGCAGGTTCTGGATTTGTGATATGAAGTTCGTTTTGTCTTAGCTAGTAAAATTCATTTGACTTTTATTAATATTTTATTCTATATCCATGAAAAATACCACTTATAAGAACTGACAGCATCGTAATACATTCTCCCGAATATTCCAACATTATACATTCAACCAATAATCCCAAATTATACTATACCATGAATAAACGATTTTTATACTAAGTTCGTATTCTTTCTCTTTATACCGACCTATGCGTCGGTCAGGAGAATTGCGATTTAGCATAGCTTTTATACTATTTAGATTTGAATATTTTTTGAGTGTACTGAATTTTTTTTGACACAACAGCGCGGCTCTGTTTACTAAAAATGAACACATGAATAATGCTACCGCAACATTTGAAAAGGACCTATCAACTTTTGTAAATAATTTGCTAGGTCCTTTTCACGAGAACCGAAGTACGCCCATTCAAACCAAAAGCACTATCGGGAAGGGGAGAATTTCCTCTTTTTTCATTTTCTTTCCTTTCCCACACACAGCGAGAAAAAAATAGCGGCTTTATGGTCACACTTGTACCAACAATCACTATGAAACTATCGATTTTAAATTGGCTCACTACTTGACTAGCCTATTGGTCCCAAGCAAATCGATGACGTACCCCATTCTAGTCGAAATTCTAGTACTACACAATGTTTGTTTTGATTCGCAATGAAAGTTTGACAGATAAAATGAGGGGTTAGTGGAATTTCCTATGTTTCGAGGGGTGAATCGATTAGCTTGGGACCGAAGATAGTATCAGAGCTGAGCCAAAAGTAGAGTTCGTTTCTTCGGGACCTACTAGTCTTAGAGTTACCTCTATGCTTGTACAGTATGTTTGCAACAGCGAATAGATTGGTACCACTGCCGTGTATCGATTAAACCGCCGCCGCTAACCACTCTACGTTTCCAATGTTGGCCGCAGAAATATTTCCCAATCCTTTTTCCCCTCCTTGCATTTTGTTTTACTAACCCCAAGAAGGCTGCGGGCAAACGGCTTCCCTTACTAACACTAGCAATAAGAACAGAAATAGTGTAAACATCCAATCAGAAACTAACTTTTATGACATTGTACACGTTCATTTCGTTTTACTTAGTAGATTGTTAGACCAATCATCATCGTCATTCAATTTCTCTTTGATTTAAAAAAAAAGTATAAAACCAATTGAATCACGCATTCACATACACACAAAAAACAAAAATTGTTGTAATAAAAATAATGGAATTTCAAATTAAAAGTTTTCCTAAATTCATAGTTTTAACTACGAAAAACTCAAATTGAAAATTATTTCTTTTGGTTTGACAATATTTCTTTCACTTTCGACTCGTAATTTTAAAAGCTCGTTTTTGAAAATAAAAGTTGTACAACTGTCAAAAATACCTCTTCATAACGAGCTTCATAATGAAGTTATTGGCAGCCTTGGCAGCACAACCTATTTTTACCGCCAAATTTTACTTGACGTCATAATAAGGAGGCGAGAAATCCTTGGAAACATTATGATTTTCCGCTGCAGCAGGAAATGTTAGGTGAGTTGAAATTTGATAAGGTTTATTATGAATTCGTTTTATTTGTTTTATCTTAGCACCAGGTCCGATTGCTCACGGAATTAGCACAGCTGATACGCAAACTCCTGATGAAAGGAATCAAGGCTGAGCAGATTGTTGACACCTTGGACAAGCAAATTGGAACGGATACACTTTCCTCGACTACCATCAAAACGACTTCTGACTGCAAACAGGTGGAAGTAGCGTTAAAATTCGAAATCTTTTTTTCGCCACTGAATGACCATGGGAAGCGTGAGGAGTCCACCCGCAACACGATCAAAGTTGATCCATAATCTACTGGAAATAGTTTAAAAAGTTCCTGGGATCATACGGGCGAGCGAGCGGGCGAGACACTGTACAGTGCGATGTGAAGTTTTCCCCACTCGGGAGAAGGAAATTCAACATCATATATTTAATATTGATTGTTTAAAATATCAATAAACATATTTTTGTATATTTCTTTCAAATAAAAAAACTTTTAATTGAATATTTATAAGATTTTGGAATGAAAACGGACGTGATAATGATGAAAGTATTTGTTATCAAATTTAAAAGGACATATATGTTATCCTAACTATACCAAAGTTTCAGGCCAAAAGTTTATTTTGAATCAAGAATAATCTGCTTTTAATTTAAACACTGTTATGCTTTTCATTTGACAGTAGTACAATTCAATTTGAAAGTTTTAACTTTTAAAAGCAGTGGCCGGGCAACTTTTGATTTGACAGTTGGCCTATTTTTGTTTTGAAAGCTAACCGCTTTCTACCAAAAAGAACCAATGCATACTTTTAATTCTATCAATGTATTTTTTTAATTTGAGCAACGATTGTTCTTTGTGTGTAGTCAGTAGTTTCCGAATTTCCAAGCTGAAGTTACCCTTCTAAGAAAGAAAATTCCAGTTTTCCCGTCGATTCGATATCGATGCAAGGGGTCCCTGTTACCGTTCCAGTTTTGTCGGCGGTCATGCTCAGTGGAGTTCCCTCTACTTCCGAAATGGAGAGTTGCATTTCCCACCGCTGCTTGTTGCCGTCGCTGCTCTAAAAAGAATTTATTTTCGCGATTATTTTAATTATTTTATATGATTATATTTTCAAATATATCTCATACCCCAAACAGACTATGGCTTATATCATGTAATATAGGCTGTCTTGCAATGAGCACTCATACATCTAGTTTTCACTGGAAATCCAATGTAATAGTACGTTCAGACTACAGAGTTATAACATGTTATAGCGCTATCTTTATGGTGGTTTCTGTGTTGCAATTATTTGACAACCGTTATAACATGTTATAACTCTCCAGTCTGTACAGCGTTTAATAGTACGTTCAGACTACAGAGTTATATCATGTTTTAGCGCTATCTTGATGGTGGTTTCTGTGTTGCAATTATTTGACAACCGTTATAACATGTTATAACTCTCCAGTCTGGACAGCGTTTAAGAGTGCTCATTGCAAGACAGCCTATATTACATGATATAAGCATAGTCTGTCCAGGGTATTAGTTGTCTTGCCCCTTCATTTATTCAAAAAAATTTTTTTTTTCTATTACGTTAACTCCGCCACATGGACTTCCTCGATTTTTCTGACATTTTATAAATCGGCCGCCCTTTAGCACATCAGACACTGCTTTCGATCGATCAACAAACTGTCACCACTTTGCTGTTTTGGTCGACGAAATGACGCATCTGTGCGAATAAAAAAGGATCGAAAGTTTTTTCGTCGCTTCCTGGCATTGCGAAGTGGAAAATTATCCCAAAATCGGATTGCAAACCTTTCCTCACCTTTTGGATTCATAGAACGCCACAAAATTTGTTAATTCAATCAAATCACTGGTCAAAGGTGAGTATGACTCAGACGGAATCGTTTGTTTTCGTTTCCGCATAAGTCTGAAATTTTATTTTGTTTATGGCAGGCACCTGTGCTAATCAAATTTCGCTTCCTCCGCGGAAAGACCTTGAGGATTGTTTTTTTTTTTAGGAGTAAACGGCGAACAGCACCAATAGGATGAGTTTCTTCGGAAAACTGTTCTCCGGGAAGAAGGGCGAACCAGCCCCGACGCCGAGCGAGGCCATTCAAAAGCTTAGGGATATAGAGAATATGCTGACCAAGAAACAGGAGTTCCTGGAGAAAAAGATTGAAGTCGAACTGGACACTGCCCGGAAAAATGGAACCAAGAACAAGCGCGGTGAGTTACGGCCCAACCTTTAATGTAAGAGGATACTATTTTGTTTTGGCAGCAATATAACAGACATTGTTAGACAGTGTTGACAATCGGCGTTGAGAAAGATGACTCATTCGTCATGCTTATTAGACACGTCGAAATCTAAGCTCAATCTTAAACAAATTCAAGTACATATTGGCATGTAGCCAACGTAGCCAAGCTATGCAAAAAGTAAGCGTAATCAAACGGATCCTTCCATATATTTTCAGCTGCGCTCCAGGCTCTCAAGCGGAAGAAGCGATACGAAAAACAGCTGACTCAAATCGATGGCACCCTGTCCACAATTGAGATGCAGCGGGAGGCTTTGGAGAATGCCAATACCAACACAGCCGTCTTGACCACAATGAAGAAGGCCTCGGATGCACTGAAGGCTGCCCACAAAGATATGAACATCGACGACGTTCACGATATGATGGACGACATTGCCGAACAGAATGACATCGCGAACGAAATCTCCAATGCCGTTTCGACGGCGGTCGGATTCGGCCAGGACATCGACGATGATGAGCTGGAGAAGGAGCTCGAGGAACTGGAACAGGAAGAATTGGACAAGGAACTGCTCGGAGTGCAGCCGGAGACGGATCAGCTGCCGGAAGTGCCATCGACCGACCTGCCGGCCAAGGCGAAAGAAAAGAAAAAGGGTAAGTTTTTAATACTTACATCCGGGGTTATACTTCCACTCACTTCGTTGGGGAAAAATGTTCTTCGGAAATATTAAATCAAGCAGAACAATGCATTAGGTCCTAAGTACATTGACAGATGATCTTCGCCGACTTTCTCTTTGCATCTTTGCAGCCATGTTAAGACATTCCCAGCTATTTTCACCACACATTATTATCTAGCTTCTAATACGGCAAACACAACAAGAAACGATTCTGTACCCAAGTTATTAACGAAAGAGAAAGTTAACGAAGAGAATCGATTAATGTAACTTAGGACCTAGTACATTGTTCAGCTTGTATTTGATGCATATGATGCATAAACTGCTGGGTTCGATTCTCGGTCTGGTCTAGAAATTTTTCGGGTTCTGGGCATTAAGTATGATGTTTGATAGGTTCTCTTCGCCGACTTTCTCTTTGCATCGTCACGGCTTCTTTTATCGATCTGTGTGCTGAAAATACCCGGGAATGTTTTACATAGCCGTGCGGATGCAAAGAGAAAGTCGACGAAGAGAATCTGTCAATGTTACTTAGGACCTAATGCAACATTCAGCTTGATTTCTCGGTGCCTTTGCTGTTGCTTTTGGTAGTCAATACATCCTGTTTTTTTTTTTTTTCTTTTTACATCCTGTTACAGCACTATATTGAACAAATTTCAAAAAATTGTAGCAATATGCAGAGTATCGATCATCGCAGTTAGGCCCTTATGGATGCTCCCTGTGGAATTATACTAAAGCAAAAATGGTACAAACGTATAAAGCTCTCAATTGGCTTCTTTATGGGTATTGTGATAAATGCATAATCGTAATCTGCATTACAAATTGAACCGAAATCCAAAATGTCATCATTTTTGATACACTGGAACTATTTTAAATACGTGCGAATACATTAGCAGAAATCACCATCTAAGCACCCCTCGATGGGATTTTGTATGGGAGCGAGTCGTCAATTTGTTACAGCAAATTTATTTATTATCCAGGTTGGAACCAGTTCCAAACCGTGCGAACCACTCGTCCACTCTTGAGGAGGACGGAGAAGTTGATAGTATTGGAAAATGCGTGACATGAGGGGGGGATAACAAAATCAAATAACTTGTGGATGTCATATTTGAATCGCATCAAACAGTGAAGTTATTATTTTGCTTTAATCTTAATTAAAAAATCGAGATGAAAGTCTATGGGTTCGAACAACATATCTTTGTTCTCAAAAAACGAAGCATTCAGATGATATTATTTAAAAACCTATATTTTTTCAAAATTAAAAACCTAAAGGGTGTAAATAGGTATGTTCCCGTACTTTGTGCAGCATTTGATTTTCTTACAGCAACTTACAGAAAGATGCAACAACTTACAGTGAAAGCAAAAAAGCAAGTACGGGAACAGACCTAATGACTTTGATCGTTTCTCTTCATCGACTTTCTCTTACGTTAATAATAATTCTCGATGAACATTATTTAAAAGGGGTCCTATCTCGCGTAAGATTTGAAAAGGGCCTATCAACTTTCTCTTTGGTTTACCACGGCTACATAATCGAATTTCTGGCTAAGCTCGCAGCACAGTTCGAAAATTGTGAAGAAGACGATGTTAGCTTGCGCATGAAACAACACACTCAATTTTTTTTTGCAGTCGGGCTATTCGCGAAAGAGAAATCGACGAAGAGAATCGATCGACAATGATAGGCCATTTTCTCGTGTTGCGCGAGCTATCTGCATTGATCAAATTCTCTTCATCGACTTTCTTTTTTTATAACCACTGCTATGCAAACAGATTTCGCGGTAATTTTGACCACATAGTTTGATAAAGGAAGTTCTTATCTAGCGTCCAAAACGTCACATACAACAGTTTTGCAGCTGAGTTATTAACAAAAAAAGAGAAAGTCGATGAAGAGAATTTTAATGTCTAAAAACGTAGGTCAATAAGCGCTGAGTTACCTACATGTTTAGAAATTTCTCTTGCATCTGAATCGAAGTTACTCTATCTCTCTCTGAGTGATATTGAACGACCGTGTCCGCATACAACCTCTTCTTGTAACTTACAAGTACAGTACATCAAGCTGAACAATGCATTAAGTCCTAAGTAACATTGATCGATTCTCTTCATCGACTTTCTCTTTCGATAATAACTAATTTCATCAATCTGTTTACTGAAAATAGCAGGGAATGTCTTCACATGACCTTGAAGATGCAAAGAGAAAATAGAAGAAGAGAATCTGTCAATGTTACATATAACCTAATGCATTGTCCAGCTTGATATCATTAAAATTTATTTCATAATTATACGATTATAACACGCACACATGCGTAATCTAAGTTTCAAGTGCATAATTTGCTACCCCCATTTTCGCTCCAACCAAAAAGTTTGTTTTTTTTACTGTTATCCTGCAGAAAGAACTATAGCACGAAGAGAGTGGAAGCAACCCTGCTTACATCACCATATTTTCTCATGTTAATCGGAAATTCTCGTTCTTCCAGCTGTCGCAGAGGATGATGACGATCCAGACATGAAGGAACTGATGTCGTGGGCTAATTAAAGCGGGAAATTTCACCGGTTCGTTCCCACAGGGGCTACACAATATCCATGCATATAACTAACTACACGTTTAGAAATACTGACCGGCTAGCTTCTATTCAATGCACTTAATACCTATACATAAAAAGGAGATCGAACGGGCCAATGGCATACTAAACCATCCAACCGGTGCACTACATCTAGCCGAGTTTCGTCGTACTGCGGAAAACGAACAGGATTGACCCAGATTGAGATTGAAGACTACTGAACCGTATTGTCTGTGTAAACCACACCTGTGAACACTGTTGATATCGTTTTCCTTAGAAAGCCCAAAGAATGATTTGCGTTCTTTAAAAAAAAAAACATGTAAACTACCTTATTTATATTATTTCTCGTGCAAAGATGAATGTTTGTTTATCAACAGCTTATTGCTTTTGTTTAAATGTCGGAAGAAAAGTTTCTCGTAAATTGCATATTAGTACATGAAGTCTTTTAATTGAACTGTGGTACGGGAGTAGGCAGAATAGTTGCTGCTGCGTTGTCCGTGTCAGCACGTGCTCGCTTTACAAGATAGGATGTATGAAATTTTGAGTTCCAGGTCGGACACATTGATAGAGAATTGCGGTGAATTTGAAAATATATTTTCTTACGTTAAGTAAGTTACACTAATAGGACTGTGGTTTTTTATTTGTACTAGGGCTCTACTACTGCCGATAAAATAAAGCAAAGTTTGAATTTTCAAATAATATGCAGGTAGGTATTAGGTTGTACCCTAATAAAAATTGTATGGTTAATTTGCTTAACGACGTGTTATGGGTATCATCCAAACCATTTGTGGAATAGTTCAATGATTTGGGTTATCGTTCGTTTATGGTTATTTTTTATTAGGGTATACAAGGAGAAAAAATACGACCAAAAATTTGAGTTCTTTTTTACTTAATATTGCTGTCATATTGCTCTTTATTGCTGTCAAAAAAAGGAACGAGAGATTCGACCCAACAATATAGTTCAGCCCAATAAGTTAGTTTTGAGTACACTACCGATCATAAGTTTAAGGACACCCCCAAAAAACCATGCAAATATGTTTTGTTCAATGATCTCTTATTTTACGTTCAATTTTCGATCTCCAAAGGTTATTTGAATGGTATAGCATAAGTGTTCTACTACTACTTTTATTTCAAAATTTGGCCAACCCAATTCTGAGAAAATCAATCACGATTCTTCAGAATAAATTTTGAAAAATATTGTAACTTTGGGTGAACTTTTAGCACACAAAATTTGATAATTATATTGCCTTACATTTGCCTACGAGGAAAGTTCCATTCAATACCTTTCAAATGATCTAAAGAAAACGAAAATTGGACGTAACATGACAGAGATATGAACACAACAAATTTGTCATGTTTTTTTGGGGTTGTCCTTAAACTTATGATCGGGAGTGTAAATTGCATACTCTCAAATTTAGATGAATTAAACTTAATTCTGGGTAGAATATACTTAAGAGTAGTTATTTTTTGCTGGTTTTAAATGGAAACTACGATTTACTCAAATTTGGGTTATTGGGCTGAACCCCGGAATTGAGGTAAAAGTACTTCAATTTGGGTAGTTTTTCATCTCCGTGTGTAATTTTGAGTTCCAGATATCAACGCGAGGGAAGCGACACATCTAAATCTCAATTCTAGATGCTCAAAAATCTCACACCAGCGAATCAATCTTCGAAAAATTAGTTCACATTTTTTATGACTTCCGACGTCAAAAATGGAATCAGCATACAAAAATTTACTAAATATGTGGTTTCTGAAAAAAAAAAAATAGGTTTTGTCCGACTTTTGTTTGAGGTATACTATATATAGAGGCCATTTTGGAACGAAAGATGGTGGCCTTCGGTTTTAGAAAAAAATGTGAAATATCCTACAATATAGGTATATTGCGAAGGGGGGGGGGGGGGGGGGTATAGAGGTCGAAACATCGATGCTGATCGCCATTTTGGAATTCAAGATGGTGGCGATTGGTTTTAGAATTACTGTGTACTTTTGGAACGAGGACGACGAGTAGAGGTAAAAATAAACGTCAGCAATCTCTATTTTTAAGTAGAAATATATACGCGATAAAGTTGACGTGCCATGCCATTTCTCTTTAAGTTGGAGGGGAAGGAGAGACGACTTGAGAAACGATTCTCGAACAGTTCTATTTCTCTCTTCATTTCTCTCGATCGTGTCGCTCGCTCTTCTTATTTATCGGGTGGTGGTGGTGGTGGTGCGATGTGCGGTATAAGAGGTGAGGAGAAAGGAAACTAGTGGACTCTTTCGTTCTCGCGTCTTCTTATGCAGCAACAGACGTGACGTCACGTCTGCTATTGCATAAGAACACCGTCAGAATGAAAGAGTCCACTAGTTTTCTTTCTCCTCACCTCTTATACCGCACATCGGTGGTGGTGGAGGCCTCGCGCGTAGAGGAAAGAGAGTTATTCGAGAATTAGGAGATCGGTATTCCATTGAAGTAAATAAGTGTGTAGAGTTTTAACCTTTAAGGTTAAGGTGCTCACACACGGCATGATCCGGTGCAGCGTTTATGGTGGTGCGTCGTTTTTTTTATTAAAATCATTTAATTAACATTAAAAATTTTAATTACCAGTTTTTAGGATGCTAGAAACCTTAAAAGTACCATACTCGAATGATGGACCAACTGATGGATCAATTCCACAGATAATTCCCTGAACACGTATTAGCGCTTTTCGGTCATGGGAGAGGTGGTCGTTTTGTTTTAAGTTTTATGTTTTACAGGTTATTGAAAACCAGCTAGGGGAGTGTTTTTTTGTAACTAGCGTAAGTGTGCCTGCGATTTGCATCGAGTGACGGACATTGTGAGTAAGCTGAAGGATGTTCGCTGGATACGCCCAAGACTGGACGGGCGGTAGCTGGTAGCCGTGAACGGTTCCTGGGGAAAGCACTAGATGCGAACCTCCTCCCAGATCACCATGGCAATACAGGAAGTATCACAACAAAGGTAATTGCTATTAGATATTTCCGGAGTGATTTGAGATTTGGGCGTGGTTGTATTTGTAAACAGGCACGTCAATCGCCGATTTTTCGCGAATAGGGGCTCAATTTTGAAAACTAATAACACTCTGCGGTAGAGGTATGATTCCTCTATCATTTGGTATAGTTTGTTTATAGGATTGAGCTTTTATTCACGAGAAATCGGTGATTGACCTGTTTGTTTACAAATGCAATTACACCCAAATCTCAAATCACTCCGGATTTTGAAAACAGTGACAGATAGCGGAGAGCAGAGAGCGAGATAAGGCGCTATAACCTTGGCATTAAATCTGGGTTGAGTTTGAAGTGGGCGGAACGACCGTTTGAGGGCAGTGGCTTTTGACGCGGGTTTCTTTGAATTTAGATGGTGCCCACGCGGACTGTCGGGGCCTTTCGATAAAGAAAGTTTGCTCTATCAGATGCTGTTGTTATATTTCGTGGGTGTGTTTTTGATGGTTGAAGGGTTTGTGTTTGGAGCTGTCGTTTACGGATGGTTGTTTCCGCTTGTTTCAAATGTTAACCCAGAAATAGCCTGGCTTTTGGTTCAAATGCCAAAAGTTCATCCAAAGACACCAGGAGCATAAATTAAATTTTATAGTAATTATGCTCCCAACGAAAACATATAAATACTATTATTCAATTGTAACTGGAAGCTTTTGGAGGGGGGGCACGCTTTCTTCCTTTCCCTTGATCTCAGGTTGTGGAGTGGTTTCAGATATTCATTTCTGACATCACTTGACTCCTTGAAATCATCTCTGCGGCACATGCTGCGCAGTTGGCCTGGCCGTTGACAAGAAAAATGACGGATTCGTGAAGCCGTCATTTTCCAGGATGCTTTCAAAGTATTGGCTGCGTTAGTGTGAGATTAGATTATTAGATTAGATTACAGGTAATTGAAAACCAGCTATTGATTAGATGAGCAAACAACAGCAATAATTTTTAAAGCATTCATATTAATTTAGTTTTTTATTGATGACATTATCATAGAGGTAACTCTAAGACAAGTAGGTCCCGAAGAAACGTGCTCAACTTTTTGGCTCACCTCTGGTACTATCTTCGGTCCCAAGCTTGTCGAATCACCCCTCGAAACATAGGAAAAACCAATAACCCCTCATTTTATCTGTCAAACTTTCATAGCAAATCAAAACAAACATTGTGTAGTACTAGAATTTCGACTAGAATAGGGTACGTTAATCGTTTGCTTGGGACCAATAGGCTACTAAAGTGGTGAGCCAATTTAAAATCGTTAGTTTCATATTGATTGTTGACATTATGCTTGATGGTGCCAAATCTTCCGCTTAATCGTATTATCTCACTAACTTTATTCATGTTTCTGCAGTATAGCACCTGTGGATAATGAGATGCTCGATGACCCTAGAGGGATCGATTTTGCTTACTGAGCAGAAAAAAGCACAAGAAATCGCCATCATTTGTATATTTTGTATTGAAAATTAACCTCGGAAATTATTTGCATATCATGCGAAAACGTAGTCCTGTATTGTCGCGAAGCGTTATGGTTCTGAGATGCTCGATGACCTTGGAGGGATCGTTTTTGCTTACTGAGCAGAAAATTATGGGTTTAATCCCAAGCTCTCCGTCATGACTCTTAAAATTCATGATCACTAAACAAAATGAATATTTTCTTTCGATAGTCGGTTATCCAGAGATTAAGTGAACAACAAATAAACAATATATACTTTTGGTTGCATCGCCAACTTGAGGTGAATCCTAACCGAATACCCTACCCAACCCTCCAACTCCTTAGCACTTATGAGGGTGTCGCTAAGTCGGTGGCCTCTCGTTAAGTAAGTACTACATCAACATTTCCTTCTCTATCCCTAGTTATGGTAAAGATAAGCGTGGCCGGGAATAGCGACAGTCATGCTTCTGTTATTCTTGTTTAGATTGGAACCAATGTTTACTCCCCAGCATTATTCCTGAAAGTAATCTAACTGAGAATTTCAGAAGAGACGTGAGTGTCGCTAGTATCCAATCTACGAAGTATATCATAACAACGCTAACGCTAAGGACGACGTGTAGAGGTAAAAAAATCTATGTCCGCTGATAATTCGGAACCCAAGATGGCTATCCGTTTTAGAATAAAAACTGTAAAATACCCTACCCTGCGCCTCGGTTGTACCAATTTGATCGTTGCACATTTCGAGTATGAGATAGTAATTGCAGTTAGATCAAGAGCTCCTGAGAAAAATGCAAGTACTTTCGTAGATTACCCGAAGTTGCGATAGTGAAGGTATGATCATAGACAAGCAGACATAACACTTCTAAATCGTTCATCAAAATCGTTTTTAACGGTCAATTTAAATGTTTCTTAGTTGGTAGTACCACAGACAAACAGACATAACACTCGCAAGTTGTTCATCGAATAAGCATTTAACGGTCAATTTAAAAGTATCGTAGTTGGTAGTACCGCCACCTGTGGCACGCATAGTCAATTCCCTTGCGTTTGACGTTTACACACTACCGCCATCTGTTCAGCGTACTACTCACCACAGTGTACTCAACAGATGGCGGTGATGTTTTTGCGACGATGTTTTACAGTGAGAAATATTCAATGTGCTATGTCTGTTTGTCTGTGGTAGTACTGCCACTTGTGGTGCACATAATCAATTCCC